ATATACTAAACATTAATATATTAACTATTGATATGCAAGAGAAAATAAATTCTCTTGTGAATAAATCTGAACCACAATTGATAAACGTGCAGCAATCACAATATTACTAGACGAAAATTACACAGGTAAGGAACGGTCAGCTCACTGAAACAAATATACCTGCGTTCAATAATGATTTGTGTACCTCACAGATGTTTTAGTTTTGTGAATATAATGTTAAATGATTTTTGAAAATAGTAAATCTTCAAAATTTTATTTTTTTATGAGATTTCAAAATTTGGGGTGATGTGTTTAATCTAAGATACATTTTTGAAAAAAAATTTTCCTAGACCTTACATTTTGAGCGAAAGTTTTTCGCCAGGTTAGAAGTGTATGTGTTATTCGATGTCTGGAGGCAATTTTGTTTTGGCAATAGACTTGTCAGAGAATTTAACTTTTAATTAAGGAATTTAATAGTTATAAAATTTTGAAGATATTGAGAAAGAGTTTTATCCTAAATTAGATTTAACAAGGTTGCTCAACCAATTATACACTTATAAGTACAATATGTATTTACAGGATGTTTCGCATAAGGTTGCAAATAATTTCAGCGATGTTTCTTTGATCAATTTCCAGTACAAAATCATATGAGTGGTGGGGTGTGTTGCAGAAAATTTTAATTACAAAACTACAGCCTGTTGACAAAAATTGGTTCCAAATTTTTCCTTTATATAAATAAATTTTAACAATTTCGGAATCGTGCAGCATAGAGTAACCACATTGAACCATAACTTGTTTTAAAGATAATTGAAAGATCTAACAATGATATTTTTCTTCTAACAATCAAAAATATATGATCTAAAAACGCGTATAATTTGTCGAGAATTTTTATTAATAAATTTTTTTATGCATTAAGATAAGAGGTATAAGAGTTCTCTATAAAGTATTTTCTTCAATTTCTCATAATTTTGCTATTTACTTAGTAATGTGTATACCTCAAAAATATATACATATTTTGCAATTAAAATAGTTAAGTTTTTAACAAACTCCAATAGCAATTAACCGCAGCACTTTTCCCCTATGCACATAGATTCCTAACATTTACCAATAATTACATTTTTTCTATTAAATACACAAACCAAATGCACTAACTACCAATTTTTGTAAAGTTCATTTTAAGAACCGCTTTAATTGTAATCAAATTATTTTTCCATAAATTATACATGTATGTACTTATACTTTCCACCAAAATTTAAATATATATATATATATAATATTCCCTAAAATATATTCCCTAAAATACAAATAAATAGCAATCTTTTATATTCGAAATTCAAATAATACAATATATACTTTCCCCTCTTATATTTATTTTGAAATCTACGCAAGCACTTGTTCTCTTGTATATCAAAGAATATTATAATTATTCATAAGGTTCGCATACAAATTAATTATTGTGATGGTTTTGTATCTGTGTAATATTAACCCTGTGGTTAGTTATTTTTAGTCTATTTTTACTTTGTTTTGTCTTTCACACTATCTTTTAATTGATTTGTCTTCATATAATTTGTATATACTTATTGTAAAGCATGCTAGTCCATATATAGAACGCATTTAAATCAAAAATAAAAAAACATTAAACAAAAAAGTCTAGATAAAAATCTTAATAGTTTCCAATACTTATGTAAAAACATTAAAAATCATGTTTCAATTAAACCAAAATAAAAATTAATTTCTTGAAAATGATATCACAATAATAATATTATGTGAGGGTCTAAAGTTGGGTTTCCTTTTGTATGCATATATTAATTATTGTAAGTTTTCATATAGATAAGAAATTTATAAATGCTGAATTGAGTGTTAATATGGTTAAAACTGGATTCAAGTTAAATAAAGTTGGGTCAAACGAATGGTTTGAATGTAGTATTTTTCCCTTCAACAACAAAACTATTTATGTATTCCTACTACATTATTGAAATTAACTTCATTCATATAAGAAACTATTTCAACGATTGCATACATTTCGGATGAACGATCTATACAGTCTTTGAAATATAGCAAACATAACTTTAAAGAGATGTTAACATAATGCTTGATTTTAAGAAAAATAATTATTCTTTTTTAGTGGCATTGAATATACCGTTAGTTTTCTACGTTTATAGAAATTTGAAAAAGATTGCGGTTTCGGAAGGCGTCAAAAATTCAAATTTTACAAATCTCGAGAGACTATAACTTGAGAAATTTTCTTGTAACTTAATGAACTATTTATTAGTATCTAAAAGTTGTTAAAATTGCAGACTCTTACTACCCGAGGTCTAAAAGAACACTGATATCAAAAATTTCGAAAAAAATGGATAGAAGAAGCAACCCACTGCTTTTCTATGCTTGCAAATTTAAAAAATGCTTATACAGTGGAGCCTCCACAACTCGAAGCCATATGAGTTTCCCTGAACATTGGCATAACTTTTTTTTTTCTCTTCAACTCTAAATCTCCATAACTCGAACTGTTTTAGCGTTCCCGTGTGACTTCGAGTTATAGAAGTCCCATTATAGTTTTATTGCAATATATATTTTCTTCTACGGAAGTAAGTTTCTAGTAAAGATCTATGTACATATAAAACATTTCAGCTTTCTATTTTCAAGGCTGTAGAAGTTTAGTAAACAGACAAACGGACAGACAGACAGACAGAGTGAAAAAATTAACCACTTTTTTTCAAAAATTTTTTGAAAAGTGCTAAAAAGTGAACATAAAAAAAGGTTATCGTTAATCATTGAATATTATTATTATTTAAAGATATCATTATAGTAATTTACAGTAAGAACTCGGTAAAATCAGATTTATGTCATTTAACTAATTCAAATAAAAAAATTCTTTCAGCACATAAAAAAATATTAAATATTTTATTAGAATGACTTTAGAATTCTTCATATTATTTTTAACCGCATTTCCCATTACTTACAAAAACATACATACATAATATGTATACTTATTACTTACATCATTACAGACCATATTGTGTATACAATAGGTAGGTGATGTGATGGTAACAAATTTTGCATATCGAGTTTTCGATGGGAATGTACTTCCCCATGGTAAGGAAGTGTAAAAAAAACTATTTTGATGAAATTTTAATTGTCACAGATTGATCAACTTTTGGGATATATGAGGCCTCGGGAACTGGACCTTTTAACAAGTCTGTTTTACATTTTTGATTATTTTCAAAAAAATATTCAATAGATTTACTTGAAATTTCATATATAAGCTTCATTCGACCCTACGCGATACCTCCTTATTTTTGGAAGAAATCAGGTATCCGCAACTGGACGTTTGTTGCGGCAAAATATACATTTTTGCGGTTATAAAGAGAAATAATCAACCGATTACATTGAAAGTTAATATTTAAATTTGAGGTGTTAAAACAATTAATCTATAAATTTTTTTTGGAAAAATTAGTGCCCGGAAACTGATCTGGCACCAATTTCATTGGTATGTTAACTAAAAGCTTATTAGCGTCCTTAAAATCGTAAAGAAGTATTTAAAATGCATTTTCATAATCTTCTGGAATACTTTTACTAATCTAAACAATATAAATTACGTTCGGTTATGTGCTGGACACTTCAGATCTTTTATTTTGTTTTTAGGAAAATATTTCATGTAGTATATTTTTATCTAAAATTCAGAACAGAAGATGAATTCAAGAAATAAATTTAGCTTATTCGATGGGAAATTTAACAATTTAAATAACATATAAAAATTGTTTGATACATAAATATATGGAAATCATAAAATCAATAAATAAGTAAATATAATTATTTATTATTTAATTAGGACTAAAAATATAAAAATATTTATCTGTTAAACAAGGGTATTACTGTAAAAATATTACATGTAGTAATTAAATAATACGAATTTGACTGTAATAATATTTCTAATAAAATTTAAGAACGCGTACATACAAACACATGTATGCACTATTGTAACTATATGTGTTTAAAGAAAAAAATTTACAAACAAAATCAACTTTTAAAGTCAAAAAGGCCGGAAATTTATAAGCACGTAATGCAGCTTTTTTTTATATACTTATACATTTTCAATTATGAATTTTAAGTAGATTCTAATTTATTAGTATTTTGTAAGTTCAGTTTAATAACATTAAAGAATGCCGTATTTTATAAATGAGTAATTTATTTGATTAGATACACGGTTATTAACTGCGATTGCTTATAAAATAGTAAAAATATTATTTAAATGATTTTTAACATTAAAAAAAAAATTAATTCAATGTACTTATTTGATTGAATTTTTCTTGTAATTTGTTTTTCACTATTGAAAATGGTGGGAGGTCATTACACCTTTCCTCAATGGTTTCCTTCCTTTTAAGGTTCCTTATACTAACACTTCTAATTATTGAACTTACTAAATTAACAATCGAGAGAATTATTAATTAATTGCAAATTATAAGTAAATATCTTTTAGCTATATTATATATCACTTTGCAGGATAGAATAGTTTTTTTTTTGAATAAAAATATAACATGACAGTTTTCCAATTTTAAAAATTTAAAGGTTGAATTGTACTGCAGAGAATAACTTCATTTAAAACACAATAACTTTTTTCATGTAATTGGAATGTAGTGTGAATAATATCAATAAATTTACTATTCTCATAGTACATCCATATTAAGAATGTAGTCTTTTGTAGCCAAAGCGAAGGAGACACATAATCGATTTTTATAAGAATGTGAATCTTCTACCCATTTTACCCTGATAAGCATTGCAAATGGTCGAAAGATACTTTCAATCACAACATTTTTTATAACCCTAAAGACCCTTAAATTCGCAAATTATTACATATGTTCACATATCAGTGTTTAAAACTAATTCAGCACTACACTAGTGAATTTATTGATAATTTCAATAAATCATTCAAAAAATAACGAATCAATTAATCAAATAATAACAGCAAATATTATTATATATATGTATATAAAATAACAATATAAAACACTTATATTACTTACCTCGACTAAATTTGGTAGAAAGCTAACTTTACGATTTTTCTTTAATCTCATAGTACTGCTAATATTGCAATTATTTATTTGTTTACCAGATAATGTACCACTATTTATATAAAGCGATGACATTGATGTCGTTGTATCATAGATATCAATAAATTGCGATGGATATTGTATTTCATAAAATGGTATATCTTCCAATGTATAATCACTTAAATGGGTATCAGTATAAGAGCTATCAAATTCCATATTGTAGACATCTAAAATAAAAAATAATTGTATTAATATTGAATTTATAGAAGAAACATAATTTAGTATTCCTATTTATAATTTTGTAATATGTATATATACAAATAACATGTTCACACATATTACATAGTTTTCCGAATACTAGTACTTACATATTTATTGGGAAAACTATGTAAGAATAATTTATAATAACATTCTATATTTTTTTGAGCTATATTTTTGGTTTCACAATTGCAACTTGTACTCAATTGAGATAAAGAAATTTTAAACATGTATGCATATGCAAGTATGTAGAAGCAGTTTCCCTTACCAAAATAATTCTTTTATAAATATAATTGTTTTAAACAATAATTTCTATATAATTTTGATTTAAATTATGCGTTAAATCTTAATTTTGCGTTCGACTTAAAAATTTTTATATAAGGTTACTGCTGCAGTTATCTAAAATAAATGAATGTGTTGTTAAAAATTTATGTAGGAGTTATATTTTTAACTAACCAACAAGCACTTTCTATTTTTCGGACAATAAACCGTCTGGAAGATACAGCAGGCAAGATTTTCTAACATAATTTTTAATATGTACATAAAAAAGTCTGATACGAATTTGTATTATTTTTCTGATACAAAGAAGATTTCAATCAGAATTGGTATTGATTTTATCTGAGGAAAGAATAACACACAACTCAGCTTAAATACTGACTCTTGGATTCGATTTTTTACCCTTCTTTTATGTGTTCCTTAGATACGTTCGCAAAAAAATATAAATATTTGCATGCTTATTCTTATTGAATATGTGCATATATTGTATGTATATCTATATGTATTCTAAAAAAATCAACATACGCTTCAACAGAATCTTATGTGATTAATCCAAAGAGTTCTGAGAGGATTTAATATGTGTGCCACACACATTCATAAGCCTTTTTTATCGAGTATTTCAGGCAACATATTGTAAGAATATTGGTTTTCTCATTTATTTTTGTTATTTTTTTTTAAATCCAGTTCAGACAATTTTTTTATAATGTTTCAGAAAATTTCATCAGCTGGTTACAAGAAATATTTTTTTTTTGTAATATTCTCTGTAAATTAATTCTTTGAATATTTAACTGGAGTATGATTTGTAAAATATGTATGTATATGCATCCACGTACATATTTTTGAAACCTAATGATCTTAAAAAAGATTTTTACATTTAAACATTTATAATAAAAGCGATTATGTTTGGTAGCAAATATAATGACGCGCTGATTTCAGGGGGTTCATATCCATTTTCATTTAAGTACTATACTCGTATGCAAGAAAGAAAGAAGTCGTCAAACAATTGTTTTAAAATATGAGTATTTGTGCACAGCAAATTGTATGCAAATGTATAAAATGAAAAGAAATTATGAAAAATTATCATAACAGTTTATGTCAGTTTTTCCCAATTTAAAAATTAGGAAAAATTTAACTATGTACTTGCATTTTATAGGAATATATTTAGTTGTTTATGCAGCTTTTCCTTAATGCAAAAAATGTGAATGAAAAAAATTTGTCGCTGAACATTATGTGCTCACATATATTTAGACAAAAGAAAACTTGTGAGGTCCTTACTTATACAATTAGTATAAGTAAGGACTACTTGCGACAATATATATCTTTATGTACATATACATATATCATAGTATGTTCGTATATAGATAAGCATAAAGAAGAGAGAAAGATTAAGAGAAGAAGAGAGAGAGAGAGATTTACTTTGCGTCCCACAATTTTTAATGATGTGTTTTATGCATCTTAAACGCTGTTTTTGAAATTGTGAGATAAGCTAACAGTATTAAGTAGTTTCCTTTGTTTGCAAAAAGTGTTAAAGAATGTTGTTACCCTATATTTACTCTTTATTATAGTACTATTTTTTCAGTATATCTGTAATTGAAATATATATCGAACTATAATTGAAATTTTGCTCTATTTCTTTTCACGCATTAGACTTACTTCTGACATTTCGTCAAAATAATTATTATCGTTTGTCATTTAGTTTACTATACAAATAATAATATCATATAACATTTCACATATAACATAATATACCATGTATAATGTACCATACATAACATTTTGTGTACATGAACTGCATTTATGTACAATGTTTATGCACCGATGTATTCCGAGACCCCATTAAAGGCCTAGTAAAATACTTTTACAAAAGATTATCGGCTACGCAGGAACCGCGTTTTACTGACCAGTGAAAGTGTTTGATATTGAGAACTTTATTGCTAATAAATTTCACACAACAAGGAATGTGACATTCAATTTTTTTTTCAAAGGCGTCTTTAAATTTTATTCTCAATTATTGTTGATCGTTCATTCCCTATTAATCAATTCTCTACTTAAATCTTCTGTTTAAACTTTAAACTTTTAAATTACAAACATATGCATTTTCATTAACACCACAATTATATTGTAACCAAAAGTGACACCGAACTAAAAAGAAACACTAATATAATTTTAGTTCTAGCTTCCAGGAATTTGAAAAAACAATTTTTTATAAAAATGTTTTAGAGCCAAAATCAAAATTCACCAAATTAAATTTAATTTATTTCAAAATAAATTTTTGTTCAAACTGTTAAAATTTTCGATTTCTATAACTTAATATCTAAAAAACGGTTTCAAAATAATGGTTAAGTTTGAAGATAATTTTGTCGTTGCAATAATGTTCCCCTATGCTGTAGAAGAAGTAACCTGCCGTATTCCTGCGTTTGAGGAATTCAAAAACTGTTTCTGGTATCGAACACAATTTCATTTTCGGAACACTAAACAGCCTTAACTTTGTAAACGCAAAGTAAAACTAAAAGGGCAAAGTATAAAATAAGCTCATTTTTTCAATTTTATGTGCTAAAAAATTAAAAAAAAAACGAAAACACAAAAACATTGTTGAAATCCTTTTTTTATAAAAATTATACTTAATTTTTAATATTTAAAACAATTTGATAATTGGGAAATAACAGATTTAAATTAAATAATAAATATCTTCAATATTCCTACATATTTAATGCTTGCAATATTCATATATATAACAACTTATTTTAGGAATATAATTTAAAGCTTAAATAATTAGTTCTGTTAATAAAGTCACACTCTCAATATTCTCATCTAATCTGACATTAAATCAAGTTTCATGCTAAATTAGCATATTCGAGAACGTTAAACCAAACGTAAACAAACCACAAAATGAATTCGACATAAAAATAAATAAATATGTATGTTAAGAAAATTATCGAACAAATAATACTTAGCACCTAATAACAATAAGAAAAATAATAATCAAACAATTAAGTTTGAAAGAAATGCATAGGTACATAGTTATATGAATACATACCTATGTAGTTATTCATTCGCATACATAAGTATGTGCAAGTATCGTGTATTTACAAATCTACAACAATAATACGTGGGCATGTATGAATATTTTTTAATATTTACTAGCGCTTGTAAACAAAATTAAGAATAAGAGTAAAAGCGGTTTCTTTTTGAAGTGATTTTTTTTTATATTTTTTTTTATTTTGGTTTTTTATTGATGTTTTATGACAACAATATTATTGTTGTTGATTTATTCCTTTTTGTTAAACATTAATAAGTAATTATTGTTGTTTATTATCGTTTTTACAAAATTTTATAGATTTATGTACATACACACATATGTTTGTGTGTAGAGTAAGAGCTCAATAAATTCTAATAATTTAATTGTGGAATCAAATCTTTAATTTTTAATTCTTGTAATTTCAAAATTATAAAAATTAAGATTAAATAATAACCTAAAATATGAATACATAAATCCTTGTACATTTTGTCCATATAATTGCATACAGATAAGTAAGGTCATATTATAAAAATATAACAATATTATATATATCATACAAATATAGCAGATAATTGGGTTCAAACATGTATGCAATCATATACATGCATACATAAATATTATGTATTTATATATCAGACACATATGTATACACCTGTATATAGTAAAAGTTATAATAAATTCACTAAGAAAAATATATTAAAAAACTTAGTAAACCTTTCACAAATAAATTTTAATGATGCTGGAGTATCAATCTAAAACACAACACAATACCTACTTGTATGGCTCTTGGTGGTAAACTAAGATTGAAAGAGCATGTCAAAAATAGAAAACTGGAGAATTGTTGAGAAAAAAAATACCAGATTTACCATGGTCTTAAAGCTAACAGATTTCCCCTGGTCAAAATTATAAATTCTTATATCTTCGGAAACATGCGATATAAAATAACCATCGGTGACTTGTTTTGCAGACAATTGATCGGTTTTACAATCAATTTGATGTGTGCTATAATTTTCGCAATAGAGCTCGTCAAAGTCAGAATTTTTTTTTTAAATTTTTTTTAAAAACTCGAAATTTCTCGAAATACGTGTTATTTATTATTTGTTTTTTTCGATGCGCCACAATGAGATCTAAAAGTTAACCCATATAACATTTTTCTCTAACTCTCATAGTTTTGCTTGGCTCCTATTACAGAATTAGAGAGAATACATTTTTCGAATTAAATCAATAGAAGTTATGGTTACCAAAATATCAGAACTTCTTTAATAAGGACGAGCTTTCTTCTTATGTATATAAAAACTTTAATTTCTACTATTTTATAATTACACTTTTCGACATATTCAAATAAATCAATAAATTTAATATAGCTAATTCATTACTAATATAAACCTCCTTATAGAATTTTAAAAATAATAAGCCTTTTTATATTATAAATTAATAGTATATCGCGATCGTGAAAACTGCTATTTTTATGTTCATAAGTAAATTTTAGTACCTAGTTTGTTCTGAAACATTGCATCACATGAACTACATAATGTAATTATATGTTTCTAACTACATAAATCATATGATTTTTTTTGGAATAGTCATAATATTGCATGCCAACTATGCTATTTTTTGCAGTATTGCGTTTATGAAAACCTCTAATATAAAAAATATTAATAGCAGTATTTTCAT